TACGTTTTTTGTAAGTGGCTGGTACACATTTTTTTTCTGTAATTCTTAAAGAATAGAAGATCGTATTTTTGCAGAGTTAGATTTAAAAAAAAAAAAAAAATATTGTGTAGGATATGTATGTTTATAATAAATATTAAGTATTTTGACCACCGATGAGTTATGCGCTAATTATAATTTTGCATACAATCTGGATCAAACATTTTTTAAAGTTTTTAATTTGATATAGTTTTTTTATATAAAATTTCATCTGAAATTTAATTTTCCATGGAAAATAAAAGACGAGTAAAAATTTTTCTGCATAAAGAATAAATAAGGGTGAACTTTTCCACAATCATCGCAAACAATTTTAAGTTGATCCTTTTTTCTTAAAAAATTCTTTACGACACTGGCAAATTTACGAGTCTCTTTTAAGTTTGTTCTTCTTATCTCAGACGCTCAGTCCTTACTTTTACTACCAACGGGTGATTTTTAAATTTTCAGTGTAAATAAAGATTGCCTTATCGCTGTTGTGTGCATACTTAATTTGCATGAATTTATTCTTATTCACAATCGATATCGTAAAATTTATTTTAAAAAATAGGTTTCTTTGACTTCATGAAAAGAAGCATGAAATCCGTTTAAGTCATTTACTAATTGTAAATAATTTTTCCTAGGATTTTATTCATGTTGAGTTTATCAGTATTTAAAATTCCATCTAAATTTTATAAAAATCTCAAAATAAGAAAATTAATGTAATCGCATATGAACAATTTTTTAAGTCCGTTAATGATCTTGTTGACTTAATAAGAATCTCAATAGTATTATCCATGGAGTTATTTTTATACTTAATTAATACATGAGAATAAAATGAAAAAATTCAATATTTGACAACTGTATGATTTGTATAACTCCTTGCTATTTGTGTATTCACAGAAGTAGCAAATCACACAAAAGAAGTGATGTGAGGTCGAAATAAGCGCTAGAACTGTATTGTTTGAGAGAAGCCCTTAGCTCTTCAGCTACTTAAACATGAAAACAGTGCAGTTACATTCAAAAATAGCTACTTAGTTCAAAGTCTGCTTGAGTATGGCTGAAAAGTTACACGAGTACGAGGGCCTTACGGGCCGAGCTCATGGCTTGAGGGACAAGGTGCGAGGCAAGTGGGACGAGTGTAAGGAATGGAAAAACAATATACCCACGGATCAGGGCCTCGGGGGAGTCATTGGTCACTTCAAGGGTCCACCCAAGCTGGAACGCACTCTTGATGATTACGAGCATATCTACAAGTAAGTTCAGTGATTATTTGCTTGAACAATCTAGGGAAAATGGTAGATACAAGGAAAACTGTTTTAATAGTGTTTTGTTGGTAAGGAAATTTTTAACATTTGATAAAAACAAGCAAGTAAAGTTGAATGTTACATCTATCATTTCTGCTACGTCTTGCTTTTTCAAGCTACCTAAATATTTGTTAATCAAAACAAAAGAGGATATACTCTCGTTTCTCTGTCAAGTCAGAGATCGTGAAGAATTATTGTCATTCAAATTTTGGTATTACAGATCCACTCTTCCCGAGTATTTCCCAAATTGTCATTTTAAGTTTGTTATCACCGACTTCATATTATTGAAAAAAAAAATTAATGTACAGAGAGAAATAGATAGCTTAAAAATTGTGTTATCAGCAGTTAACTAACTCACTGATAATACTCTTTTTTCTTAGAATCTGTTGGTAATCTAAAACAGATTACGTATAGACGTCAGTGTGATTCTTGATGTATGTGACGAGTTGCAGTGAATTCAAGTGCAATGCCATGAGATAAAATTTTTTTTTTTTTTTTAATTTAACAACCACAATTTTTTTCTCTTTTCAAAAAATTTCAAGCCATGTCAGGAGTCGTTGTTCATTTCCGAAAGGAAATCGTTGTCAGATGGTTTAAATCGAAAGTTGAACTCTAGCCGTATTTAAAATATCGAACTTTCTTCAATATAGCATTAAGGTATTGACATTTCACATGAACCCCTGATGGGATTGAAATTCATTAATTAAATTTGTGTGGATATCGATGCGAATTTTGCTCTGATTACAATCAGAATAATGTTTGAATACTGATACCAAATTATGTCAAGGTTTTATGTTAGGGATGAATATTAATAATTTTTACTTACATAATCGGCTTAAGGTATTTAAGAAATCAATAAGTTGGTTGGTTATTGATTTGTGCAACAACTGATCAGTCATAAATTTGCAAAATAATAGCTTACGATGTTTAAAATTCACAAATGTATTTTTAACAAATGGCTCAAAAATGTATCAGACTATAATCGAGTATAACACAATCTAAGAAGAAAAACAGATACTTAAAATCATTGATTGGTATCAAAAACAAGAACATGGTTGAATCAAGCTAATACATTAACTTTAAACGACCATTTCCGACCAAAACCCAAAGTTTACTTTGAAAAATATAGGATACATTTCATGCAATAAATGTTATGTTTCATAAGAGAAAAAAATGTACAATTTCAACACGTTTTCTCCACAGACGAAAGACAAGGTCAGAGCTGGTGCGTATCTCGGCCGCGGTAATGGGCATCGAATTCTCGTACGCGGCGGAAACGGCCTTCGTATCACCGACTCTACTGAAGATCGGCGTCGATCATCAGCACATGACATTGGTCTGGGCGCTCAGTCCACTGGTTGGCTTCTTCGTGACCCCGATACTAGGCAGCGTGAGCGACCGATGTCGGCTCAAACAGGGACGGCGTCGGCCCTTCATTCTACTCTTGTCCATCGGTGTTCTCATGGGTGAGTGGATTTTGATTTCACCTTGTCGGACTATAACGAAGCTTTGTTGTTGTTCGCTCGCCTCACCTTTTTTCCCCTCTAGCTTACTTAAAAAAGGGCCAACGATGATTTTTTTTTTTTTTTTTTTTTTTTTTTTTTTTTTTTTTTTTTTTTTTTTAATAAGTAGTAANGTAATTCACGAAAAGGGCTAGTTTTTAAAGCTGTTAAGATTTTAAACTCCCAAAAAATTTATACTAAAAAAAAATTTTTTTTCTCTTATCTCACAACTTTATAACCAGAGCAACAAAGTCCTGGACCTTAAACCCTACATTTTTTATTGCCACAAAAACACAAATACATTTTCTACTTATTTGAAAATCTGAAGTAGGATCTTTAAAGATTTCAGAGATTGCTGTGAGAGTACAATGAAAAGCTGATCTCTCACGTAATGGATTTTTTATTTGTCAATTTTTACGCTGTTGTTTCAATCTCGATAAATTTTCTGCGTCAGTTTCTTGACGCTAAAGTAAAATTGTATTTATTAGATACATTTGAAGTTTTTCTTCCAATTCACCCTCTTGCGACTTTTGGCATGCTTAAAATTTTTGTGACCCGTAAAAGCTGTTTTCTGTCAACTTTGTTAAGTTCTAGCATATTTGTTGGCAAGGTAGTTTGACGTCAGATTGCCCTAAAAAAGACCGGTGAGCTTCTTAAGTAAACTCTTTCTTGACTTCAGTTAACAGCAATTATGACTGCCTGGATACCTCAGGGAGATCTTCTCTGGCCTGCTGTTGAAGACCCAGACTGATCGGGAGAAAAATTACAAAGTCCGATGCTTTGGGGCTAGTTGTAGTGCTCTTTTCCAACGTCTCCCGGTATAACGTCGAAGACGTTGGAGTCTAAATCACCATTTTTTAGTTGCAGATTCAGTTGTTTTGGTGATCTCAGATGGGGAGATTGGTTAGTGATACTTGTTCAGTGGAGAATGTCCCGTTGGCTCAAGTTTTTTTTCCTTCATAGCTGTAATAGGTTTGCCCAGCGCAGACCTTGGAGAAAATCAGTGATTCCTGGTTGAATACTTAGAGTCGAGAGGGTAATATAGGATCGTCGGTCACCGGGTTTTCCAGCCTTGCGAAGAACAACTCCGCAGGTGACGTCTGCCAGTGAATGGCTGACTTGGTTTAATAGTGCCTGTCTTTAGTAAATAATATAGTCTTTTAGTCGAAGAATCGCTTCCGGAAATGGTAGTAAAAATGTATTTGTTGGCAAGGTAGTTTACACTTAGATGGCCCCTAAAAAGAACCGATGAAATTGATGGTTAAGTAGGGAACGAAAATACTTATAATGGCCCTAAAAAGCGCCAGTAGTGAAACTTCCAGACTATTCTTTATTATTATTCCTGATGATGAAGAGCTGGCTATGGGTTGCTTGATTCTTACTCTGGGAGTCTCGATGTACGGAGACTGTGATGGAGGGAGGTACGCCGTTGACCAAAGAATATCTGGTCTCGGGTCGTTCCCCGGATAACCAACCGCTTATCGTTAGACGGGAACTTGTGGGTAAGCGCGTTGGGGACGCGACTCAAGAAGGTAGCCATTGTGGCTGCCCATGCCCCTAAGAGCTGTTTTGCCTTGCTTACATTTGTATGAACAAATTCTCTAACTGCACCAGGTGGGACTGCCACACATCTCTGAAGAGTTGGTGCAGATTGTGCTCTGGCTAGATATGTCTCCTGGTATTGTGGCAGAGACGGCATCGGTTGGAATTAATTTTTTTTTTTTTTTATCGCACTCGTCAAGATTCAGGATGAATGGCAACCTAGGTCCCTTTCTTCTTTTAGAAGAGTGTCGTCCGTAACCAGGATACCCAGCTGCAAAACTATTATCAGCATTTTCTTCGGAGCTCGTTGAACTGCCGAAGCTCGACTACAACACTATCGAGACGCTCCGGCCTATTATAACCACACTTATTCAATTTTGTTGCAGGTAGCCTTGATTTTATGTCGACGCCACCTAGTGGATTTTACTGAACTAAAGTGAAAAGCTGGCGTATTTTTGCAAAACTTTGAGCTCATTTATTGCTATTGTTATTTAATTTTTTAAGATAAAAACTATACTAAAACCATCAAGGAAGTATCATGAATCAGTGTGCAAAATTTCAGCAAAATCGGTTCAGTATTTTTCGCGGTTAGCGATTACAACGGTTTTAGTGAATTTGCTTTATATATTAGTAAGACAAAATTATTGCACAAAATTCATTTTTGCTATCTTTATTTTACACCTTTTTGAAATAATTTTACGCTGAGGATGAGGAGTTGAAATGTTTAACTGAGAACATCAATAATAGTCATTCAAATTTAGTGTGTAATGTAATCACTTGCACACTATGGTTGATAGTGCCTTAAATAATTATCTCTAAAGATAAATTTTTCCAGGCTAAGGTATTCTGGCTAATCATGTTTTTTATTAATAAAGTCTTTGATTTCTAAATGAAGTTTTACTATGAATAAAATTATGTTTTTCTTAGGAATCCGACATATCAAATGAGCTTCGTACACTCATTAAAAATATTATCTAATGATGCATATTTTGATAAATAGTTTCCTAATTTACAAATAGTATTGACTGTTTGATTATTAAATTTTGTCCACTTCGTAGTGCGTCTATTCTTATCTTGGTGGAAAAAACTGTGTAACGCACTTAATCTATAAATAATAACATTATTACTGTCATTTAAATTTTACGTTCTAATTTTTGAGCAAAACAACAGCAATTAAATAAATTTAGAACTTTAATTACATTTTGTGAAAACAAAGAAATACTGTATCAATGATATACAAGTCGTTTATTTTTATAACCCGTATGTTATTTAAATCATGAACATGTGATCTCAGCTTGAACCAATCAAATAATAAATAAAATTCCTTTTTTTTTTTTTTTTTTTTTTTTAATAAGTAGTAAAATATACATCCAAACGTAATGTAAACCGAGTTTAATAAGTTATTCGAAAATTTTTTTAACAAAAGTATGTATGTTGCTGCAAATTTCATGATAATTAAACAGGCAATATAATATAGTTTGTCTGGTACTTACTGTAGCTTAATGGTATCTTTTAATTTGTTAATAAATATTATTTATAACTGTTCTCCTTGGGGCTCACAACTTTGCAACTTTATTGCTTCCAAAATATTAATACAGAATCAAAATTATTATAAAAAAACAACAAAATCATTTCTGATTAACTAGTTTACGTATCACAAAACTATTATTTGTAGCTTTTGGCTCATTCGTCAACTTTACTTCAATTATATCTAGTCGTATACTTGTATGAATTAAGTTTTGCACTAACAACTATTTTTGAAACTTTAATTTCTCAGAGAATTTAATTAACTTTCCTTATTATCACTCAAGTTCTCTGTATTCTTAAGTATTGCAGCAAATGTTTACATACTCAGATAGCAAAAAACGATTGTTAGAAGGTTAGATAAAATTGATATGGTTGGAGTAGTAATGATAAACACACTTATCTAGTATTTGTATTTTAACTGTACCTGACATTTTTCGGTCATAGAAAAGAACTTAAATGGTCTACGTAAATTTTCGTTCTTAGAAAAAAAATTCATAGTAATTTGACAAAAACGAAGGAGTGGGCTCAATTGTTTAACTGCTATAGAACGCTCTTAATAGATTTCTGAACATTGAAAAATCATGTTTTTAATCAGAAATCGGATTTTTAATTAGTATAAAAGGGGGTCTAATTGTGCAATGTGATACATCATAAAATTCGCTTGGCTAAGAAGTGTCCAGTATTCTGACTGGTTGACCAAATTTATAACTGGAATGGCTGACAGCTGAAATTTTTCGGTGCAAGCGAATTCTGCAGTATATCAAATGGTACTATCAGGCCACTCACAGTCAAGGCTTAATGAAGACATGTTGCGGTATTTGTAATATTTTCAATCTTTACTATATTTTACCTGAGATGGGATTATATAAATTAGTTACAATTTCATATCTGAAATAAATATTTGATATTTAATACAAGCTGTTAATAATGCTTAACTTAAAATATATTAGTATATTCTTTGGTTAGTTAAGAATTTGACTGGTAGAAATATTAATAAGTCTAATTCTCCTTTTCTACATCTTCTTGAGGAACATCTTGATAAACAGCAGATTTCCTTGTATCCTGTCGTCTTTGTTCATCTTTTGTCATAATCGTCATAATCAGGCCGATTAAAAGAGCCACGCAGAAAATGATGTGGACAGGAAAATCACCGTAGTGTTCCAAAACAACCTCTAATATAATGACAAGAACAATGCCATAAATATTGTTAGTGATGTTTAATATGCCCGCTGAATGAGATTCCGATATCGGATATGTATACTCGGCTGCCAACTCGTAGCCAAGAGCTAAATAGCCCGACATAAAAAATCTATAAAAAATATTTAATACTTCTTATACTCATTAAACACTCAAAATGTAAGACTGTACAGAATTATAGATTTTTCCGTAAGTATTATTAAAAATATTTAAGAATATCTACCCAAGAAAAATGGCAGCAACATACACCATCCATTTAACCTCCATAAGTATAGCAACGCTAAATAGTATCTGTCCACATAACGTTAAAAAATAGACAGTCACAGCAGTTTCTCTGTACGATTAAATCATGTGGTTTGACTTTTTAATATTTTGATATGAATAAGTTTTACTTAATAAAATGTTTACTGCTTACTTGAATTTACGTGTTTTATCTAATATAATGCCAAACATTATCGAACCAAACATTCCCGTAAAAATAATAAGTAGTCCAATCATTCCAGCATCTTTTTCTGCATTCTGAAGTAGAAAAAAAAAATACATAGATCAGATGGACATTGGATGTAGTTGTTAAAAGTAATAACTCTGAAACTACCGCAAAGTGTATTAAAAACAATTGGCTTAGAAGCGTGCCCAGCACATTAAGGATGCCCACATTCAATCCATATGAGTTACAGAGAATCAAGAAACTTTTATTTGTAAAAAGCTGTTTCATTGGACCAATGAACCCCTCTACTTGGTTGAGATTCATTTTCTGCAAAGCTCGTGTCTCATTTGGTGGTAGTTTTGGTTCATCCTTAAAAACTTTTATTGTTGTATGGTAAGCAAGTTATAAGTTTTAAAGAAATATGTTTTGTTTTTAAGTTCTTCCACCAATCTTAATATATTTTTTGTACTTACAAAGTATAACGAGGACTAAGTTGAGAGACGAGGCCAAAGCTACACCCCAAAAGAGAAGTGACAGATCAACACCAATGTCATATACATCTTCGTGATTTTTGACAATAAATGGTGGCAAAAAAAACATCATTGATATTCCAAACTGGGGGCCAAAGATTCCGAGTGACGTAGCTGTTGATAGCTCGTCCGAACCAAACCAATTAGCTGATACTCGTCCAGGCATTGGTAGCATTATAACCTTTTAGAAAATATAATGGTCATGTGACACCAGAACGTTCATTTGTAACTAAAATCTAAATGTTATATGAGTACCAGAGAAAGTGCAACAATCGATTGTCCTGCAAAGGTCACAGGAAATCTATCGGGTGTAACGGAAAGCGTTTTGATCCATGCCCCAAAGCAGCACAAAAAACTTCCTAAAATAATCGTGTGTCTCAACCCAATGCGTTCTGATAGATAGCTAATAGGAAATATAAAAACAACATAGAAGAGCATGTAAATCATCGAGGTCCAGTCGACGGCTCTTAACGAAACATTGTAGTACCTGTTACAATGGCAATATGTCCAAGTAAAATTATGCTGATTAAAGTTTAAATTCAACTGAAACATGAAAATCATACCTGGCTACTATGTTGGCAATGATTGAATACTCTACCCACTGACTTGCAACCAGACTGCTGTAAAATACGTACAGCCCAAGATTTAACCATCTTCTTTTGTAAACCTTTGTAACAATCTTACTGTTCGAGTCTGACTTTTCATGCGAACTCAAGATAATAACATTATTCCCTTTTGTTAGAACACTTAAGTCTTCTTTCTCCATTTTCACGTAGGACTCCACAAGAGAATTACCTAGTAACTCCTCATTTTTCGTTGTTCTCCCCACGACTGTGCTCGAAACAAAGTCATTAAAAACTGATCAATGCCGCCAGTATTAGCTCACTGATACTTATTCGAAGAGAGATAATGCACTATCAGTCGTCGAGTTCGAGTATCTACTGGAGTGATAAGATTCGTTGATTAGTATAATAGCAACTGGTTATTATCTACTGATCTTCAACATGATTTACCAAAAAATCTTTGTAAAACATATAATTTTGTTTAAAACCATTTCTCGAAAGCACACAAAATTAATGACTATGTAAATGCAATGATTAAACCAATTCCATATTTTTTAAATGTATACGGCAGAGATCATGTCACCAGCCTAACGAATAAGACTTGGTGGTCTCATCGGATGAAAGAAGTACACACGGGCGATTAAAGATATTTGATGTGTAGAAATTTTAAAGTAAAAAAAACCAATAGAACTGTTTGTGACGAAACTGGAATGTATGTGACACAATTATACCAAGTTTTGAAAAGATTCTTTTTTCAGAAATGAAATGTGAATATTCAAAGTTCATCTAATAGTGTATGATGGACTTTTAAATCAAAATTGAAAATGTCGCTGTTTGATGAAGATTATACATTTTAAATTAACTTGATCTTACACTTTAGGATCTCACATACAAAATACTTGAAAAATTTTGTAACATCAATACTTTTAATTTTGTATGTATTTTCACTTACTGGGTAACATCTAATGAGTGTTTTATTTAGGGAATTTTTGGTAAAACACAATATCTGATTACCAATAATAATTGTTACGACGTAAAGTATGGAACCGAAAAATTTTTATAAAACTTGCAAGTGTACTATTGAAATAAATACAAAGAGCACGCAAACGTAGTAATAAAAAGCAATAATAACTTTTGTATGAAATTGTTAACAATGATAATGATTGTAATAGTAGAAATAGTAACAATTATAATAATTTTAACCATAATCACAATACTTCAAAGCATTTTAATAATGACCCTAGCATGATTTATATATAAAAAATTACGTAAATGTTGTGTAACACTTGAAAAATACTTCTTTATTGAAAAAAGATGGCTTAATCTATTTTTACTTCGAGCGTAACTCACACATTTACAGAAATCGTAAATCGAAATTCATCAAATAAAGTTCTATTCCGCCAATATAGGAACGCATAAAACAAAAACGATAGTCAATAGAAGCCTATAGCATTGATTTACGCTGCAGGAAGCTAACAAAGCGTCGGCGCCAGCGGGGGATGACAAAGCCACGAAGACTAAGGGGTGGGCAGACGTCAGTCGAGCGCCAGACTCGTCCGAGAGCGGATTCCGTGGATTTTGAGTTTCTTTTGCTTTCGCGAATTCGTTTGATATGAGATGAGCCTTTGAAAAGTAATCGTTAGGCTACGTTACATTCAAAAGTGACGGTGTAGATGGTATCGTTTGAACTTACGTTTTTTGTAAGTGGCTGGTACACATTTTTTTTCTGTAATTCTTAAAGAATAGANTTAATAATTACGGTTTTTTTTTTTCTTATTAATAAAAACAAAAGATGTACTCAGTTTATTTTATTTATGAGGAATTTCTGATAATAATTAAACCACATACTTATTAAAGTTAGTAGAAAGATAAATCAATTGTAGATTATTCTAGACTAAAATAAGTCTTATTACATAAATATTCGCGACAATATTGTATTCAAAATTAATCGTTGATTTCAAGGGTATTCGGCTTACATTTTCTTATGATTGACTGCTTGTGTGTTTTAATACAATATTAATCAAAAAAGGTACTAGATGTCGGAAACATAATTATTACATTAACAAGCAAATTGTACTGACATTTATATATGGTCTTAATTATTTTTGAGTTATAAGTGTTCTTTCAATATCGAAGAAATTGGTGAAACAATTATTATTGTAACTTTTTAATTTAGTGTACAGGAGCAGTTTCACAGTAAAGTAAACAAAAAAAGGTACAATCTTCTATCCATGTTAAGAGTTATGCTCTTTGCAGTGGGAACTGTGCAGTTCTATCCACGTTAAAGTGGCTTGGGTGATTCTTACTAGAATCATAAAAATCTCTGAAATTTTGAAATCATGTAAATGAAGTATGCCAAATTCCTTTGCGATAAAAAAAATTAGATTAGATTTAATTTTCAGAAAATCGCTACTGAAAGCTCACTAATTATATATCTAGTCTTGTAGGATTCATTACTAAAATGGCTATAACTCACAAATAAAAGACAAACTTCTTTAAATAAATGTTGTCTTTGTACATTTTTTCATAAAAAGTCTTTTTGAATTTTAAAAAGAATGTAAAAACTATTGAGATTTCAAGAAAATTTAGAGAAACAAGATTTATTATCTTCTCTGCATGCATAGATTGAAATGATGAGTTTTTATTATACTTTTTATAGATATTTTATAACTTTTTAGGCCAATAACACTCTGGAATTTGAATACGTGATTTAGATATTCAATTATCATGACAATAAACAAAAAATAGTTTTCATAATTCACAGAGCCTTAATGGGCCCCTCGATCGGTACAGCACCAAATGCCCAAGCCACCTTCAATCTTGTACATTTTTATTAATAGTCAAAATTTTGCACTGTAATCTTTAAAAACATTATGAATTACACACTGTACTCCACGATATTTTGATTTAGCTGATTACTTTTTAAAATTCAGGTGAAAAATATTTGTTTTTCACCTGTAATATTAGAAAATGGCTAAATATACGGTTAATCTTGGACGTATAAATAGTGTAGAAGTAGTAACTTGAATTTGAAAACTAAACATTTTTCCACACGACTGTTGATATCAAAAGTCTTAAGACGTACTAACTTTACTATGTTATTCTATAATAAAATTTTATCTAACTGAATTAATGTTTTCTTTTAATCTTTAACCACATAAACTTATTTTTAGAGGACCATGCAAGAGGATTGAGTACCTTCACTATAATGGCAGGTCTAGGTGGTTTCATGGGTTACGCTTTAGGAGGAATAAATTGGGATGTTACAGCTATTGGGCAAGCCTTGGGTGGACATCTTCATGCGACTTTCACGCTGATCACGATAATTTTCATCATCTGCGTTGCAAGCACTCTTACGAGCTTCAAAGAAATACCACTTGATTTTCTGGAGAGCGAAGAATGTCAGCAGCAGCTACATCTGAAGGTTTCTTTAGTTTCTTTTTATTTCTTGAATTATTAATTTTGTTATTTATCTAAATTTTTTTTCTCAAACGGTGCCGAGTACAAATACATTACATCAATGTCAGGATAAAAGTATAATTATTGTATTGATTGAGCTTTCTAGAATGAGAGCCTTGCGATTGCAATACCTCATCATTTTTATCGATTATTTCTGAATGAATATATTTAAATGTAATACCTTTTTTTCATGAATTCGCCTTGGTGCTTGCAAATTATTTTTTTTTTTTTTTAAACTGTAATAAATCCATCCTAAAAGAATCAGTATCACGTGACTGTCAACTGAATACGCCATGATACGATTGGTCGTGAGGGACGAAAGGCGGTACATTTAAATGTTTATACGAGATTAAGTAGACAAGCGCTGGCTAATCGAGGTCATTTTATTCGTTTGAGCTTAAATTTATTTTTAAAATTTAATCATNACGTAACGAGGTTCGTAAAGGAGACTTTTCGAACGAGTTCCGGAAAACTGCTTTTTCGCCCGAGGAAGTACCAGCCTCCCAAAACCACCCGAGGGCGGAAAAAGCAGTTTTCCGATACTCGTTCGAAAAGTCTCCTTTACGAACCTCGTTACGGACCTCACCTTCGGCTCGGGCCGCAAACCTCATGGTTCGCAAACAAAGACTTTTCAAACTCGTAGGAAAACTACTATTCTTACCATGGGCCCAAAGTGCAACTGCCGCTTTGCACCCTTGGGTCACACTTTTGCGCCCTTGTAATCACTTTAGGCCCACGGGCAGACAAGTTTTTTGCGCCCTCCGGGCCCAAAGTGATTTACTGGGCGCAAAGTGTGCCCACGGGCGCAAACTTACACTTTGCGCCCTCGGTAAGAAAAGCATTATACGCGTCTCGGGCACCAACCTACAACAAGAGTGCCCTTCGGGCGCTCATGTTTGTACTTTGTGCCCTAGTGACGTAATGTACCATACGATAATTTGTAAGCAGTAGGAGAAAGATCCTATACATCATGTATTGGTACCATAGTTTCTCCTGATAAAAAATATCCCTACATTATGTTAAACTGTATTATAGGAACATTCCATGCTTGTTCATAGATAAAAAGATAGTCACTAAATATTAATATTAAATGTATTATGTATGTAGAGGATTTTCCCATCACTGGCTGACATTTATTTCAAAATTTATTTAAAAAAAAGGTTGTTTGAAAAACATTTTCTTTTAGTACTTTTAGTGTGAATGTCATCCACAATAATCACTTAAATCAATATTACAACGAAGTCATTCATAAAAAAGTTATACGACGTGTAGGTAATTAAGCTGCATGTATAGCTTAACTATTCTAATCCAGCTAACATGGAGTCAAGTTCTATCAATTAAAAATTTTTTTTTATATATTAAACGTTACTGATCAAAAGTTTTATCAGTTAAAATAAAAGCAATTAAAATTGCTACGAAAAGATGAAGGTATTTGCCATAAATCAGTTTTCTATCTTTAAACCGTTAAAACTGTAAATTGATGGTACTAAATGACCTAAATTCTGTTTTTATCGACAAGACTTCATTTCAGTTTTCTTTTGAATTAAATTTAAACTTATTTCATATTGTTTACTACTTTGTTGCTAGCGTTACAAGTGAATTCGATATTAGATATGTGTCTCGTGATGAAAGGCCCACTTTACCAAACGCCGAGACATCTGTCTCGTTATTTGATTCAGCACTGCGTGGAAAAAAAAAATGATAAAAATTCGTTGGCTAAATGTAAGGAAAAAATAAATTTTAATTTCAATTGGCTTCGAATTAAGAATATCACAGCTGACTTTTAAAGATTTAGATCGTTCTTACAGCTTGTAGACGAAATGCAAAGACTTTTCTACGAAAACAGATAATGCAAATTTTTACTCCAGAGGTAACGAGACACTTCCGCCCCTAGAAAAAAAACAAAGATAGTATAGATACAACAATATTTTTTAACTCTTTTAATAATGTTTTACATGCTTTTAAACTCTTAAATTCGATAGAACAGTCAGAGCTACTGACTAAATTTTTAGATATCGGATATGTATACTCGGCTGCCAACTCGTAGCCAAGAGCTAAATAGCCCGACATAAAAAATCTATAAAAAATATTTAATACTTCTTATACTCATTAAACACTCAAAATGTAAGACTGTACAGAATTATAGATTTTTCCGTAAGTATTATTAAAAATATTTAAGAATATCTACCCAAGAAAAATGGCAGCAACATACACCATCCATTTAACCTCCATAAGTATAGCAACGCTAAATAGTATCTGTCCACATAACGTTAAAAAATAGACAGTCACAGCAGTTTCTCTGTACGATTAAATCATGTGGTTTGACTTTTTAATATTTTGATATGAATAAGTTTTACTTAATAAAATGTTTACTGCTTACTTGAATTTACGTGTTTTATCTAATATAATGCCAAACATTATCGAACCAAACATTCCCGTAAAAATAATAAGTAGTCCAATCATTCCAGCATCTTTTTCTGCATTCTGAAGTAGAAAAAAAAAATACATAGATCAGATGGACATTGGATGTAGTTGTTAAAAGTAATAACTCTGAAACTACCGCAAAGTGTATTAAAAACAATTGGCTTAGAAGCGTGCCCAGCACATTAAGGATGCCCACATTCAATCCATATGAGTTACAGAGAATCAAGAAACTTTTATTTGTAAAAAGCTGTTTCATTGGACCAATGAACCCCTCTACTTGGTTGAGATTCATTTTCTGCAAAGCTCGTGTCTCATTTGGTGGTAGTTTTGGTTCATCCTTAAAAACTTTTATTGTTGTATGGTAAGCAAGTTATAAGTTTTAAAGAAATATGTTTTGTTTTTAAGTTCTTCCACCAATCTTAATATATTTTTTGTACTTACAAAGTATAACGAGGACTAAGTTGAGAGACGAGGCCAAAGCTACACCCCAAAAGAGAAGTGACAGATCAACACCAATGTCATATACATCTTCGTGATTTTTGACAATAAATGGTGGCAAAAAAAACATCATTGATATTCCAAACTGGGGGCCAAAGATTCCGAGTGACGTAGCTGTTGATAGCTCGTCCGAACCAAACCAATTAGCTGATACTCGTCCAGGCATTGGTAGCATTATAACCTTTTAGAAAATATAATGGTCATGTGACACCAGAACGTTCATTTGTAACTAAAATCTAAATGTTATATGAGTACCAGAGAAAGTGCAACAATCGATTGTCCTGCAAAGGTCACAGGAAATCTATCGGGTGTAACGGAAAGCGTTTTGATCCATGCCCCAAAGCAGCACAAAAAACTTCCTAAAATAATCGTGTGTCTCAACCCAATGCGTTCTGATAGATAGCTAATAGGAAATATAAAAACAACATAGAAGAGCATGTAAATCATCGAGGTCCAGTCGACGGCTCTTAACGAAACATTGTAGTACCTGTTACAATGGCAATATGTCCAAGTAAAATTATGCTGATTAAAGTTTAAATTCAACTGAAACATGAAAATCATACCTGGCTACTATGTTGGCAATGATTGAATACTCTACCCACTGACTTGCAACCAGACTGCTGTAAAATACGTACAGCCCAAGATTTAACCATCTTCTTTTGTAAACCTTTGTAACAATCTTACTGTTCGAGTCTGACTTTTCATGCGAACTCAAGATAATAACATTATTCCCTTTTGTTAGAACACTTAAGTCTTCTTTCTCCATTTTCACGTAGGACTCCACAAGAGAATTACCTAGTAACTCCTCATTTTTCGTTGTTCTCCCCACGACTGTGCTCGAAACAAAGTCATTAAAAACTGATCAATGCCGCCAGTATTAGCTCACTGATACTTATTCGAAGAGAGATAATGCACTATCAGTCGTCGAGTTCGAGTATCTACTGGAGTGATAAGATTCGTTGATTAGTATAATAGCAACTGGTTATTATCTACTGATCTTCAACATGATTTACCAAAAAATCTTTGTAAAACATATAATTTTGTTTAAAACCATTTCTCGAAAGCACACAAAATTAATGACTATGTAAATGCAATGATTAAACCAATTCCATATTTTTTAAATGTATACGGCAGAGATCATGTCACCAGCCTAACGAATAAGACTTGGTGGTCTCATCGGATGAAAGAAGTACACACGGGCGATTAAAGATATTTGATGTGTAGAAATTTTAAAGTAAAAAAAACCAATAGAACTGTTTGTGACGAAACTGGAATGTATGTGACACAATTATACCAAGTTTTGAAAAGATTCTTTTTTCAGAAATGAAATGTGAATATTCAAAGTTCATCTAATAGTGTATGATGGACTTTTAAATCAAAATTGAAAATGTCGCTGTTTGATGAAGATTATACATTTTAAATTAACTTGATCTTACACTTTAGGATCTCACATACAAAATACTTGAAAAATTTTGTAACATCAATACTTTTAATTTTGTATGTATTTTCACTTACTGGGTAACATCTAATGAGTGTTTTATTTAGGGAATTTTTGGTAAAACACAATATCTGATTACCAATAATAATTGTTACGACGTAAAGTATGGAACCGAAAAATTTTTATAAAACTTGCAAGTGTACTATTGAAATAAATACAAAGAGCACGCAAACGTAGTAATAAAAAGCAATAATAACTTTTGTATGAAATTGTTAACAATGATAATGATTGTAATAGTAGAAATAGTAACAATTATAATAATTTTAACCATAATCACAATACTTCAAAGCATTTTAATAATGACCCTAGCATGATTTATATATAAAAAATTACGTAAATGTTGTGTAACACTTGAAAAATACTTCTTTATTGAAAAAAGATGGCTTAATCTATTTTTACTTCGAGCGTAACTCACACATTTACAGAAATCGTAAATCGAAATTCATCAAATAAAGTTCTATTCCGCCAATATAGGAACGCATAAAACAAAAACGATAGTCAATAGAAGCCTATAGCATTGATTTACGCTGCAGGAAGCTAACAAAGCGTCGGCGCCAGCGGGGGATGACAAAGCCACGAAGACTAAGGGGTGGGCAGACGTCAGTCGAGCGCCAGACTCGTCCGAGAGCGGATTCCGTGGATTTTGAGTTTCTTTTGCTTTCGCGAATTCGTTTGATATGAGATGAGCCTTTGAAAAGTAATCGTTAGGCTACGTTACATTCAAAAGTGACGGTGTAGATGGTATCGTTTGAACTTACGTTTTTTGTAAGTGGCTGGTACACATTTTTTTTCTGTAATTCTTAAAGAATAGAAGATCGTATTTTTGCAGAGTTAGATTTAAAAAAAAAAAAAAAATATTGTGTAGGATATGTATGTTTATAATAAATATTAAGTATTTTGACCACCGATGAGTTATGCGCTAATTATAATTTTGCATACAATCTGGATCAAACATTTTTTAAAGTTTTTAATTTGATATAGTTTTTTTATATAAAATTTCATCTGAAATTTAATTTTCCATGGAAAATAAAAGACGAGTAAAAATTTTTCTGCATAAAGAATAAATAAGGGTGAACTTTTCCACAATCATCGCAAACAATTTTAAGTTGATCCTTTTTTCTTAAAAAATTCTTTACGACACTGGCAAATTTACGAGTCTCTTTTAAGTTTGTTCTTCTTATCTCAGACGCTCAGTCCTTACTTTTACTACCAACGGGTGATTTTTAAATTTTCAGTGTAAATAAAGATTGCCTTATCGCTGTTGTGTGCATACTTAATTTGCATGAATTTATTCTTATTCACAATCGATATCGTAAAATTTATTTTAAAAAATAGGTTTCTTTGACTTCATGAAAAGAAGCATGAAATCCGTTTAAGTCATTTACTAATTGTAAATAATTTTTCCTAGGATTTTATTCATGTTGAGTTTATCAGTATTTAAAATTCCATCTAAATTTTATAAAAATCTCAAAATAAGAAAATTAATGTAATCGCATATGAACAATTTTTTAAGTCCGTTAATGATCTTGTTGACTTAATAAGAATCTCAATAGTATTATCCATGGAGTTATTTTTATACTTAATTAATACATGAGAATAAAATGAAAAAATTCAATATTTGACAACTGTATGATTTGTATAACTCCTTGCTATTTGTGTATTCACAGAAGTAGCAAATCACACAAAAGAAGTGATGTGAGGTCGAAATAAGCGCTAGAACTGTATTGTTTGAGAGAAGCCCTTAGCTCTTCAGCTACTTAAACATGAAAACAGTGCAGTTACATTCAAAAATAGCTACTTAGTTCAAAGTCTGCTTGAGTATGGCTGAAAAGTTACACGAGTACGAGGGCCTTACGGGCCGAGCTCATGGCTTGAGGGACAAGGTGCGAGGCAAGTGGGACGAGTGTAAGGAATGGAAAAACAATATACCCACGGATCAGGGCCTCGGGGGAGTCATTGGTCACTTCAAGGGTCCACCCAAGCTGGAACGCACTCTTGATGATTACGAGCATATCTACAAGTAAGTTCAGTGATTATTTGCTTGAACAATCTAGGGAAAATGGTAGATACAAGGAAAACTGTTTTAATAGTGTTTTGTTGGTAAGGAAATTTTTAACATTTGATAAAAACAAGCAAGTAAAGTTGAATGTTACATCTATCATTTCTGCTACGTCTTGCTTTTTCAAGCTACCTAAATATTTGTTAATCAAAACAAAAGAGGATATACTCTCGTTTCTCTGTCAAGTCAGAGATCGTGAAGAATTATTGTCATTCAAATTTTGGTATTACAGATCCACTCTTCCCGAGTATTTCCCAAATTGTCATTTTAAGTTTGTTATCACCGACTTCATATTA